TGCACACAGGCACACATGCACACAGGCACACACATACACATACATGTACACGTAAGCACATACACACAGGCACACGCATAGACATAATGCACACATGCACACATATACACATGCATGCACACCCGGGCACACATACATACATACACATATGTGCGCACGCACACATACATACACATACGTGCACACACACATACATACACAGAGGCACACACATTAAGTACTATAGTATTTCATGAAACATCTTGTTCAATAACATAATGTTTCCACACATTAAGATCATGAGCCCCTTTGAGAAACAATGAAAGCAGTAAGATCACTCCCAGGAAAACAGATACACATAACCTAACCTGCCATGGAGTCACAGGGGGCCTGGTCTGGTAGGGCCAGAAGCTCTGTACACATGGGACAAAGTCGACGGCTTTAGTCCTTGACACAGGTGCGTGGTAGGAATTCCAAAGTAGAGGCAGTGCCATGAAAATCTCAGAGAGATCAGGGAATGTTCCTCCTCACGTGTCAGGTGGAGAGACCCCAAGCCTGGAGTTCTCTCCTTGGCTATTTCTCTAACGTGTCTGTCAAAGCCAAAGGCAGATTCCGTAACCGCCTGCACTCTGGCCGCTAGTCTGGCTCCTTCTGCTCCTCCCCTGCCCCCAGGCAGATTGGAGGGAAAAGACACCACAGTTGCTAAGAGCCTCTGCACCAAACACACACCTGAGATGCATCCTCTTGTTTTGTCTCACGGAAACTCAGGGAGGCAAATGACGTCCCATCCAGAGATGAGGGAAGTCAGGCTCAGTGAGTATAAACCACTAGTGTGGCCGGCATACCAAAGCTAATGTCAGACACAGAAGCCCCTGACGCCTTTGTCCTTCCTCCCTCTGTGTCAGTGTCACCTCGATGGAGCAGGCGGGACTGGACGGTCCAGACAAGACGGCCGTACCTCAGGGCTGCAGGGAGGCCCTGCGGCTGCTCATGGTGGGCGCAGCCCTATTCTGTGGGTTGGCCGTCGGTTTTCAGCGTTATTGAGGCATAATTGTCATATAAAAATTACCTATATTTAAAGTGTACAAAGTGATATTTTTTATTCCAGAAAAATTGTAAGACTAGAAAGGAAAGAGGCCTCAGTGTTCACCAGGCCGGTGTTGCTGTGCTTGCGTGAGCATGCACATGTAACATCCAGTGACCAATATTCAAGGTATAAACACATGGATTACACATCTTTTATATAACAACTGTCATTTTTTCTGAAGCCAAATTAAAAGAAAAATAGTGACATTTTTATACGAGAAAAAAATCATATGAACATATAGAATTCTGTCCTAACTCAGGATCACTAAGCAATTTTCACAGATAAAATTGCAAATCCACCAAAAGAGAAAACAAATTCATATAAATATTAATAATTTGAAAATGAATAAGAACTACATAGAAGGAAGTACCCTTGAGTTTTATTGCACTCCTACTTTTTTCCTCTTTCTAAACCATTTTTTCTGGCATCAGCCTTTGGAGGCTGAGTGTCACCTGCAGTCAGACTACCCATGAACGTGAGGGCCCAGGACAGAGATGGGACAGATGGGCAGAGGACATTGCCGGGAGCCGCCTCACACAGCCCATGCTGGGCAGAACCTCACCAAGTGGCCGTCCTGGCTCTGTCCACACAAGGCACTTAGTTAAAACCATCCAGGTGGTGTCCTCTGACTGAAACCAGCCGGAGTGTCAAAGTGTAGCTTTGTGTAATCCACTTTGTGTGTTTGAGGTGAAAAAGCTATGACAGGGCAAAAAAAGTTGTCTGAAACATGGCGAAAGATTTCAAGTGTCATTGTGGCTGAGAGTCATGAACTAAAGTGGTCCCCATGAGGCCTGCGAATGATAGGGCCCTGGTGCCACTTCCAGGAATGGCCAGGCTCCTGAAAGAGACGACCAGGGGGGCCAGTGCTCTCCCCACCTCAGGGGCCCGACAGCAACCTGCACGGAGCAGGAGGGGCCCAGGCAGAGGCAGAGCTGGCTACCCCCAGTCGTGCAGGGGGAGGAGTTGGGGACACCCGTAGGGGCTGACACAGCAGCCCAGGGCACCACAGGGCTTATGTCCCCAACAGAGTTGGCAGGAGCTGCTCTCTCCCGGACCACTTGCTCTGCCACACGCACTTCCCTTGGCAAGGCGGGGGCATAGTCACCAGGTTGTTCTGCCTCTTCTGCTGGGACAGCAGGGTGGGGACTTTGTGCAGAGACAGCAGGATCCACCCCAATGGCTGGAGCCAAGGGCCTTAGCAGAATAAACCTGAGGACTCCAATATGGCGCTGTGAGGTACCAGCCTCAGGCCAGCCTGCACCTATGTCCCTCCAGGCCCATGTACCACTCTGCTCCCCAGAACATCTCTCAGTGGAAAACTCAGACTAATCTGCCAAAACCTACCTGAGGTTTCAGAAGCTACAGAAACCACGGAAGGAACCCCACGCAGTCCACTTGAGAGCAAGGGTGTGGTGCTCTTCCACCCTGTGACTCACTCCCACAGCCAAGCTGTGTGCACCCCAAGGACGAGTGTGTCCGTGACTCCACCACCCTCTCACAGTTAAACTCTCAGGCCTCTCGGGCTGACTGAGCCCCCGGTCAGCACACACCATGGGGTGCAGGTGACAGATGACAGTTTTATGCGGTTTGTCAGAGCCCATAAGTGAGGGAAAAGCAGGAGGAGCAGAGAGAAGGTCCTTGCATTCAGATCACGAGGTCCCAGGAACACCTCATTTCAGGGCCAGGTCCCAAAATCCCCACAGGTCAGTCCTTGGAGACACCAGTCCCATGTGACAAGGACCACTGGCAGGGAAGGTAATAGTCGCCAGAAACCCCCACATTCCCACGGGTGACAGCGTCAGAAACGTGATTCTCTGTGATGCTGACTCCAGAGTGTCCTGTCAGACACCTCATGTGCACTGATTTGCTCACAAGGAAAATGCACAGTGAGCTCCCTCACTCCTGCCCTTCGTCCCCTCGTCCAGCCAGACTCACTTCCTTGTCGCTTTGCTTCTAACTTCTCATTTAACACACAGGCCCAGCTTTTGCTTCACGTTCATATTTATGAAACAAAACTCTCCCCTCCCCCAACACTGTCAAAGCCAGGCCTAGTTCATAGCCTGACACCTCCGGGAGAGAGCAACTCCTGCCAAGGTCCTACCAGGTCTTCCCATCCCAGTATCAGCCACCCACCCAAGCCAGCGCCTTTCTGCCTGGTTCATAGCCTGACACAGCCAGGTCTTCCCATCACGGTGTCAGCTGTCCACTCACACCAGGACCTTTCTGCCTAGTTCATAGCCTGACACGGCCA